AACAGTCAGTTGCTCACTCTGACTGTAGGAAAATCTAACTAATCCTCCCATGAAATATATGGCTTTTAGCAAAGTGGCTGGCCAGTAAATCTACCTGGAAGAATTACTTGCAAAACATACCCGTAAGTAAATAAATTAATGTGGTATTTAGTTGCTGGATCTAAGCCAATTAAATTTGAGGACATGTGCCCCCCAAAATTATTTCAGTTTTGGAACAGGTGATCTTGATCCATTCTTTCTGACAAATGGTGAGCAACAAGATCAGCTATAAAGTTTATTATAATAAAATATCATCAGCATATAGGAAGATCATGGGTGTTTTAATTTCTAAAGCAAGGGAGCATGTGTCCAAATAACCTAAAAGTGGTTTCAAATTACTTAGACATAAGTTAAAAACAAGAAGAGCTACAACTATTTTATGCCACTTAAAATATTTTTTGATCTGTCTGAACAATTCTATTGATCTGGACTTTCCAGGTCATAGAGAAGTCTTGGTTTTATATGAACCTGGATTCTATATTTAACTCATGCAACTTAACCCGAAACCAGCTCTTATTCATAGAGTCAAAGTATGAGAAATCATTTGAAGCTGCAAACATTATTTTAAGAACAAAGTTTATTTTTCTAATTGTAAAAATTATTATTGCACATTGTCAACAATTTGGAAAATAAAGAAAAGTTTACATTATTTTTCTTTAAAAAATTTCAAAGTAATAGAATACAGATATGCAGGGCAATTCACCCACTTACAAACGCTGAGCCAACAAATTTACTCAGAGCTTCTTGGCAAAGTGAAAAGGGAAAAACAGCCAGTTATATAATTCACATTGCCTATAAAGAGAAAACACATCAGTTACTCAAGGGTAGCCAAATATTTCATGACTCGTGGCTCAGAGAGACAATTCTCTTGTGTTCATATGAGGAACACAGAGTGATATCACACACAACAACCTGTAAACTATGCCTTCTAGAATTCCTCAGTACAAGGGAAAGGGTACACAGTATGAAGCCTGGGGGTTAAAAGCATGGATTTGAGTCCCAGCTTTATCACTTATTAATTGTACCTTGAGTGATTACTTAACTTTTCTATGCCTTGGCTTCCTGTTTTATAAAATATTGTGAATAATATCACCTACTTCAAAGGGCAGTTATGAGGCTTAAATGAACTGATGCCTACAAGACAAACATAGGTCACATAGGTACAGGTACTAGTACACGGTAAACATCCTTATTATTAAAGTCAATGCTAAAATAAATGTGTGTGCACATGCTAATAGTACAGACAGAGGGTACTTAAACCAACTAAGGGCCTGAGGAAAGGTTTCTTGGAAAAAGGATGCTTGTGCTGGGTCTAAATCTTGGTCTACTATGACCTCGGCCAAATTATTTAAACTTTGTCCCTATCTGCTAAAACAGATATTTTGACTTGGCCTTCCAAAGCGTTGGGATTACAGGCATGAGCCACCACAACCAGGTCTACCTTATTATTTTAAATTTTTATTTTTAATTGTTTATTATTATTATTTTTTGAGACGGAATTTCAGTCTTGTTGCCCAGGCTGGAGTCCAATGGCGTGATCTTGGCTCACTGCAACCTCTGCCTCCCGAATTCAAACGATTCTCCTGTCTCAGCCTCCCGAGTAGCTGGGATGACAGGGGCATGCCACCATGCCTGGCTAATTTTTGTATTTTCAGTAGAGATGGGTTTTTATCATATTGGTCAGGCTGGTCTCTAACTCCTGACCTCAGGTGATCCACCCACCTCCGCCTCCTAAAGTGCTAGGATTACAGGCATGAGCCACCATGCTTGGCCTTATTATTATTTTTTAAAAAGAACTATGACAACTAGTTATGTACTTAGTATTTCTGTCTCTCCAAACTGTGAGTTCCTTGAAAACTGTGTCATAGCCATAGTATCTAGGACAGAAGCTGGCACGTAATATACTGATTCTTAATGGTTGAAAAATGGTCTGAGAAGGATTTGAAGTGTATTGTTATAAGCGAGTGAGTCTGATATAAAACTGGGGTAATTGAGCCCGGGGGTTGAGGCTGCAGTGAGCCAAGATTGCACTACTGTACTCCAGACTGGGCAACAGAGCAAGACGTTGCCTCAAAAATAAAAAGAAATAAAAGTATTGAATCAAATATGACCAAAAAAACAAAATAAAATTGGGGGATTATCTAGCAATTAATGTGAAAATTATAGACTCAGCTTGATCCCATACTTTGCCAGATGAGAAAACCAAAGCCTGGAATAGCTGAGGGATTTGTTCAAAGTTATCTAGCTAGTTAATGGCCAGAATCAAGACTAGAACCTCGAAACTCCCATCAAACCAATCCAGAGGCCAATCCACTATATTGGTCGGCCTTTCAGATCTCAGTGATTTAGTATGTATCTCCACTATCCCACTGAAGTTTGCTATTGTTGGTTACCAACCACTTTTCTGTTGCTAAATCCAGTGAATGCTTTCTAGTCCTTGATATACTGGGCCTATTTGTGGTCTCTGACTCTGTTGACCTCTCTCCATCTTGCTTGCTTGGCTTCAGAGGCATTAGGCTCACCTAGTTCTCCTTTTCTCTCTGGCCATTCCTCCTCAGACTTCTTTTTGGGCTTCTGATCATCTGCACCTCCTTTTAAAGTTAGTGCTCCCCAGGGGCCCTATCCTTGCCTCTCCTTATTATGTCTTCTGTATTTTCTCCCTGATTGATCTCATCCATGCCTCAGGCTTAAATTACCAATTATAAATTTATTTCTTCCAAATCTATTTTAACTCAACCTCTTTCCTCATTCATAGACCTGTATAGTTTGAGTGTTTATTGGACATTTTTCTCCAGATGTGGAGGTTCCCTCCATCAGGTCACAGTCATATTGCTCTAGTCTCTGAAGGTGCTGAATTGTACCCTTCATTTCCAGGTAACAGAGAAAGCTGCAGGAAACCAACTATTATCTTTATTACTGACTGTATTAGTTTCCTACTGCTGTTGTAACAAGTTAGCACAAACCTGGTACCTTAAAACACACAAGTTTATTATCTTGCAGTTCTAGAAGTCAGAAGTCCTAAAATCAACGTGTTGGCAGGGTTGTGTTCCTAGGGTGCTAGAGAAGAATCCATTTCCTTGCCTTCTCCAGCTTCTACAATTTGCTTGCATTCCTTGGGTCCATCTTGAAAGCGAACAGTATAGCATCTTCAAATCTGTCTGACCTCTGCTTCCATCATCACATCTTCTCTGACTCTGACCCTCCTGCCTCCAGCCCAGTCAGACAATCCAGGATCATCTCTCTAGATGCATCATTTAGTCATATCTGCAAAGTCCCTTTTGCCACGTAATATAACATATTCACAGGTTCTGAGTATTAGGGTGTGGTCATCCTTTTTTTTTTTTTTTTTCTTTTGGTGTATGGGGGGATCATTATTCTGTGTAACACAGCTGACAAAGCTGGTATTAAATATCACCTGTGGACAGACAGCTTCCTAATGCCAAACTCTGGAATTAAATACATATACTTTCTTTGTAGCCCTGGACGAGGCACCCTTGTCCCTACCCATAGGCCCTGCTCCAGGAAAAATGGAAAAGAACATCAGGATAGTTCCCTGAAGATTGTTATCTTTTAAGAGAAAAAGAATGGAATAGATGTCACATGTCTAGTTTCTCCCATTTAAGTTCACCAACCAGGAAGTCACTCCTCTAGGGAAGAGTGAATTGGGGACAGGTACAGTGAGAAGCCAGGAGAGTATTACACTAATAGATGTCATTCCATATGGAAGGAAGACATTGTGAATGGAGAGTAAATGTTTCTCCAACAAACATATCTATATTTGAACTCATCACCATACTCCACATATCTGGTCATCCTCCTAAGGAATGTCACCATCACTATCTATAATAGTAACTTAGACACCTGTGGATAATCAAGACTCATGTAGCTTGCCATCTTGCTAAATGTTACCACTGTCTACCTCAGCACTCATGCTAGAAACCTGGCCTACTCATTTATCCCCACTCAGTGCTGTGAATTCTACCACCTTAATGGCGCTAACATCTATCCCCTCCTCTATTCCCACTGCCAATGCCTTAATGTTCTTATCACTTGTCTGGAGTACTGCAATGGCCTAAAAATGGGTCTCCCTGCCCCAAGCCTTGCTTTTCCTGACCATTTTCACTTTCTACTTTTACTCCTGAAGCTGCCTTTGCCTGGAATTAAGTCCTTCCCATCTGTCTCCTCCAACACCCGCATGGGTGGTCCCCTACCTTGCTCCAGCGCCGGGGATAACTGACTCTCCTACATCAGCTAGAGTCAGACCTGCACCCGGATTTCTAGGACTGTTATCTATCTAGATAGATAAATTTATTTTTTGAGACAGTGTCTTGCTCTCACTGCAGAGGCTGGAGTGCAGTGGCGTGATCATAGTTCACTGCAATCTTGAACTCCCCAGATTCCAGCGATCCTCCCACCTCAGCCTCCCGAGTATCTGTGACTACAGGCGCGCGCCATCATGCCCATCTAGTTTTTGTCTTTTTTTGTAGAGACGGGGTTTCACTATGTTACCCAGGCTGGTCTCGAACTCCTGAGCTCAAGCGATCCGCCCACCTCGGCCTCCCAAAGTGCTGGGATTACAGGCGTGAGCCACCAAGTCAAATAGGCTTTATACTTACAAAGTACCTTTGCATACCTTATTTCATTTTCACCTCACAATTCTCCAGCGTAGGCTGGACCGGTATTATTATGCCCATTTACAGAGAGAGGAAACTGAGAGTCAAGGCTGGACCAGTCACACCCTGCTGCGAAGTTAACGAGCGTCACTTAGCAGCCTCGACATTAACCGCGCTCTCAGCCCTTTCCGGTCCTACTCCTTGGAGAACATTCCTGCACCTCCAAGAACTTGCCGATAGGGTCTGCGGCGGTCCGGACAAGGTCACTCCACAGGCGCCCAGGACCTTCCCATCCGTAGTGACGCGCGCCGGTGACGCCATACAGTGACGTGCAGTGACGCGACTTACCCCGGAGCCAGGTGCCGGCAGGGCAGCCACACCCTGGGGCCCCCTGCTCTGGAGGGGCAGCGGGTAGAGCCAGTGCGGAAAAGCCGCCAAGGCCGCCTCAGGCGACTTTCGAGGCCTGCACCCCGGGACCCAGCAGCCCGCGGTCGACCGGTTGCTAAGTGACGCCACCGCGCAGTGGCGCGTGCGCGGCCACGGCTGAGTGCGTGAAAGCGGACGCGCGCCGCGGCAGCCGGGGCGGCGGCGAGGACGGCGGCCACGGCAGCGGCGAAGGGGGCGGTGGCGAAGAGGGGGGTGCGGAGCGGGCGGAAGAGGCGTCTGTGCCGGCTGCTAGGTCGCAGAGGAACATCGTTGGGGTGAGTAGCCGGGTCCTTGCAGGGGAGGTGGGGCCTGGCCGCACCTGCTGCGCGGACCCGGGGCGCGGGGACGCGCGCCCCCGCCGTATCCGCGCGCACCGCTCCCCGCCCCTCCGCCGCTTTTTCCGGGGGCGGGGAAGGAACTGGGACGGGGCCTGACGAGGGTCAGTTCCTGGGCCCAGGTGCTCTGGAGAGAGTAGCCGGGGCCCGGGAAGGCTCGCAGTCCACGAAGGTGTAGTAGGAAGTAGACGTCTCGGGGGTTCGGGGTGGCTCTACCAGCCTCCCAAAGAGAGGAGTTCGAATCAGGAGCAGCCCAGGTTCACTAGCAGCCTCGTATCCTGTCTGAGACGACGTTGCCTGGGGCTGAGAGGAGGCGAAACCCGTGACCCCGGGGTGGGGGTTCGGAAAGTTCGGGACTGCTGGGGCCCTCATCTCCCCTGTCCTGGCCAGCCTCTGAGTAGGAGCTGGTTGTTATGGAGAGAGTTGTGAAGCAGTGCCTGCGTGCGGCGTCAGACACACCCACGTCCTAGGGAGGGTGACCTGTCAGTATATATCCGGGGCAGCCAACCTGTTGCCTAGAGTTTGTAACTTCACACGTATGTGCATGTGTTTCCTTGACGTTTTAGTACATTGTTGCTACAGAGTTTGAGACCAAGGTGCTGATAGGCATCCTTATTTGTGACTTCCTCATAGACTCAAGTATCTTGCTATATTTTCCAGAACCGTGTTGTGCTTTTGTCTTTAGTAGGTCCAAGGAAGTATGGAAGCATGTTTCGTTTGTTTTTCGCAAAGGCAGTACAGGTGGCTATTTTCTGGACAGAAAATAGGGATTCTCTTCACTGTGTGGGCTGGAAAGTGTTGATGATGGGAGAACCCAGAGTGTAAAGGTGTAGCTTATCCTCAGCCCAGTGCTCTCTTCTCAGTGCTATGGACTCTATAATGGGTAGATGTATGGGGTTGTGGTTACCATACTTAGGCAGTATTGGAGACAGGGAAGAAGCCAGTCTTTTCTTTCTGTTGATTAAGGCAATGTGTAGAACCGGTGAAAAGATAGACTGTACTGAAATGTAATGCTTGGTGCAAGAGGATTGAGGAAGGTAAGTTCAAGGTTCTCATTTAGGTCTAAAATTCTTTGATTCCGTTTCATAACTGAGGATCTATAAAGTGTGTTATCTCTTGGAACCAGTAATAACCTTGCTTTGTAACACTTACTAGATTACTCGGAATTCAAAGTGTCTTCCTCCTTGCACTATAATAGCTTTTAGGACAGGAGTCACCTGTGTTTTCCTCCTTGCCCTATGTCTAACACATTGGAAAAATGTGCCTGCCACCGAGTAGGCATGCAATGGATATTTGTTATATAGCACACTATGCTCAAGTGGTGTATCTATATATAGAAAGCATTTAGTTCAGTCCATTAAGTACTTAATAAATGTGCCTCCCTCTGCCCAGTATCATGATAGGTGTGGGAGGAGGATTATGGAGTGAAAAATGACATAGAAGACCTTTTTTTTTTTCCTTTGAGAGCAGTAGTCTAGCTAGGAGATATATAAAATAATTATAAAACCAAGTTAAGTAGCATGTAACCAGTGCTCTTTGAGGACTATAAATGTGGTAGGAAATCAGAAAAGATAGGATGTGTAGGCTGAGTTAGGGAACTCTTTGAAAGAGGTAAGGTTTGACTTGCTCTCTGAAAGAAGTGTAAAATTTGAATTAAGAAATAAACCAGGGACTGAGGAAATAATAATGTGAATTTGGTTGTTGGAGGATATACCCAGACGACTTTTATGTCTGGTAACTGGAGCAGAACGTCTCTTATAGGGGAATACTGGAGAGAGATGGCTTAGCAGGTTGGGAAGGCAAAGTGTTAAGGACTAAGGCGGGCTTATCAGCATCCCACTGTTAACAAGATAGAACCTTCTTGTAAGGTGGGATAGAGGTTGTATTAATCAGAGTATAGTCTTTGACAAGAATAAGTGTTATCCTTACTTGAAAGTAAAGGATATTACTCTTGAACCAATATCAGGTTGTTAATGTACTTTTGATTTCAATTACTAATTGGAATCGATGCTTCACTAATGTGCATGTATTTTAGGTAGTCAGTGGTGCGTCTCTTCATTTCTAAAATCTACCTGATGTACTTGGGCCGTTGTTTTGGAAATTGACTGAAATGATGTACCAGTAGTCATCCAGTCACACTCAGTGACATAGTTTTGCTTGGGATTATCTCTCTGAGGTTTGTCTTTACTGCTGATCCTGTAAAAAATACAAGTGTTAGTTGGGAAAGGAGTCTTTCTGATGAACGATGCTTAAAAATATGGACAAAAGAGATTTCTGAATAATTAAAGACACTGCTGCTGAATATTGAACCCTTGGTCTTTATTTATAACATCTTCTGTTATGTGAAAATTCTTTTCAGTGGTGTGTAAACCTGAAGTTGAATTGCTAACCAAGATGTGTAAAGTTACAACTGCAAATGTTGCATTATTTAACAACTCAGCAAATATTTACTGGGTGCTGGCTGTGGCTAGACACTTTGTTGGGTGCCAGGGAGACGAAGTGGTGAAGACACAGAATATCCTCAGCATACTAAGTGTTCATCAGAAGAGATAAACCACTAACCATTATATGCTGTGACAAATTAAATCACTTTTGGAATGAATAATGTGCTGGGGGAGTAGAGCACTTTGGCTGGAGAAAAAATTGATAGGGAACGTGCTGAAAAGAAGGGGATGGAGCTTAGCTCTGAGGGTTAAATAAAATTTTACCACATGTGGAGGGGGAAGAGAGCATTCCAGGCAGAGGGGCCAACATAAGCAAAGTTACTGAAGATTAAAATTAAATGGCACTTTTGGAAATATCTTGAGTTATTTCTTGTGGGCAAGAGAAAGGGAAGAGGGCTGAACTCAAGAACCCATTCCTGAGATTATGAACCCATTCCTGCTATAATGGCATTAATCCATTCATGAAGGCCTAATCACTTCTTACTGCATGGCAGAAGTGATGAGGCAGGAAGCTATTTTTGGAGCCAAATTATGAGGGGGTCTTCTTCTTCATCCTAAAAAGTCTAGACTTCTTCCATCCGTTGGCAGTGGAGAGCCATAGAAGGTAGAGTAATCAGAAAGTTGACACTTCATGTGCAGATTGCATTAGAGTGGAGAGGCAGGGAGACTAGAATGTAGGTGAGAAATGTTGGACAATGGGAATGGATAGATTTTGGAGATATTTTTAGATGTTAAAACCTCTACATTTATGACCAGCTAAAGGTAAGGGAGAGTGAGAAGTCAAAGATAATATGTCTAGTTTGAGCAATTGTTTGCTTATGATGACATTAAGTTAGAAATCACAGGAAGAGGGACAGGTTTGAAGTGGAGAGAAGAAATAATGGCAGTGTTAATTCTGAGGTTTCTGTGAGGAGTTTAAAAAGAGAGATCTACTAAGTAACTGGAAATTCTACTTCAGAATTTATGAGATGGTTAGGGACAATTGTAAAATAGATGACCGCTGAGGTTATGCGAGTAGCAACCTTCTAGGATGCATGTTAGTATAGTAGTTAACTTAGTGGACTTTGGAGTTAGGAAGATGGCAGGTCAGATCTCTGTTATGTTCTTTATTGGTTGGCTGACCTTGGGCAAGTTATTTAACTTCTCTAAGCCTAGGCTTCTTATCTGAGTTAAAGAATTGTAGTGGAAATTAAGAAAGGTACTATGTGCACAGTGATTAACACAATGCCTGTCTTATAAATGCTTAATATAATAAATGGCAGCTGTTGCTGTTATTATTAGTAGTAGTAATAGATGTAGAGATAGTAGATGAGGGCCCAACCCCAGAAAAATGGAGAGTGGGAACTGGAAAAGATGGTGAATGGAACTTTTGGACATTTAAATCAGTATTTAAACTTGGATCACTTGTTGTCTTAGTTTGTTTTGTGCTACTATTTCATATTTTATGTTTCATAATAGCAGCACAAAACTAAGACAAGAACTGATCTAAGTTTAATTTATAAAGAACAGGCTGGGTGATTTATAAAGAACAGAAATTTATTTCCTGATGGTTCTGGAGGCTGGGAAGTCAAAGATCAATGTGCCAGTATCTGGTGAGGGCCTTCTTGCTGCATGATAACATGGCAGAAGACATCAACATCACATGGGTAAGAGAGAGAGGGAAGGGGGCTGAACTCATAGCGTGAACCTATTCCCACTCTGTTGGCATTAATTCATTCATGGGAAAAGAGTCTTCATGGCCTAATCAGTGAAGATCCCACCACTCACTACTGTTGCATTGGAGAATCAAGTCTCCTCTAACACATGGAGGACACATGCAAACTGTAGTAGTTCTAAAATTTGAAAATGCATTAGGAAGAGCTGGAGGTGGCCAGGTGTGGTGGCTCATGCCTGTAATGCCCGCACTTTGGGAGGCTAAGGCGGGTGGATCACTTGAGGTCAGGAGTTTGAGACTAGCCTGGCCAACATGGTGAAACCCTGTCTCTACTAAAAATACGAAAATTAGCTGGGTGTGGTGGCACACACCTGTAATCCCAGCTACTCAGGAAGTTGAGGCAGGAGAATCACTTGAACCCAGGAGGCGGACGTTGCAGTGAGCCGAAATTAGGCCACTGCACTCCAGCCTGGGTGACAGAGTGAGACTCCATCTCAAAAAAAAAAAAAAAGAGAAAATAAATAGCCAGAAGCCTTGGTAAAGCACAGATTTCTGGGTCCCACCCCCATAGTTTCTGATTATGTAGGTGTGGACTGGGGCTTGAAAAATTGCATTTTTGAACAAGTTCCCAGGTAATGCTGATGCTGCTGTTAGAGGATAGATGAAAAGGAACCAGCACTAACAAAGTGGTTGAAGTGTATGGAGAACCAGGAGATAGTTTAGAGAAGAATAAGAATTAACAGCCTCTAGACTCTCTAGGTCCACCAGTCTGATTTCCAATTTCATAGACCTTATCTCATTTCTGTTTTCTCCAGAATATATTATAATGCCTGATACATAGCAATAACCTTTGAAGCTGCTTAATACTGTCCTGGTGCCTGATTGCATGTACCTCACACACAGATTTCATTTATCCTCTTTTATCTCTGATGAGTCATGGGGAGGATATGATTTCTAATTTTACACACACACAAAATAACTACAGAAAATTTCTTTCATATATCTGATGTGTAGCTATGTGCATTTGATTTTGTGTTAGATGCCCTCTCCCCTTATTTTTTTTTTAAATGACAATCCAGTTTGCAAAATAATTGTTAATAATATGTGCCAGTATTCCAGTCTGTGTCCTGTATTAGGCACCTTGAGTCTTACAAGGGAAGCAAATAATGTATTCACTGTTCCTGAGAAGTTTACAAATAAGATGGGTGAAATGAGCAAAACCCACAGGAAAGAAACAGGAAGAGGTATAATCACAGAAACGTGGATGTAGAGGA